ACATGCATGCACACATGTGCACACACACACACATACATACATACACACCCCCCACACACATGCACTTTTTAGTAACTTTTAAAATGTATTTCCAAATTGATTTCCAGAGTGGTTGTAGTCATTGCAGGACCACTCAGAATTCACCAATATGCCTGCTTTGCCACAACCCCTCCAACATTTAAATTTTTTTTTTCTGTTAACTTTGCCACCCTGTTGGGTGTGAGGTAGAATTGCAGAATCACTTTAATTTGCATTTCTTTAATGAGTAGTGATTTGGAACATTTTTTTTCATAAAGCTATAGATAGACTGGGTATTTTGCCTTGAGAACTGTATGTTCATCTCAATTTGGGGATAGCTCTTTTTCTTCTAAATTTGAATCACTTTGTTATGCATCTTGGAAATGAACCTCTATCAAAGAAACTTGCTGCAGCATATTTTTTTCCCCTCAGTTAACTGTTTCCCTTTTAATTTAGTTTTATTATATTAGCTTATACAAAACATTTTTAATTTTATATAATCAAAATTATCCAATTTTTTCTTTTGGAAGTCTCTTTATTCCTTGTTATCTCATGAACTTTCCTCCTATCCAAAGATCTGTTAGTTAATTTTTTCTACACTTCTCTAATTTTTTTTTATGATATGACCTTTTATATCTAGGTCAAGTACCTATTTGGAAGTGTTGGTCTAAACCTAATTCCTTCCATGCTGTGTAGTTTTCCCAGCAATTTTTGTCAAATATCCTAGTAACCTGGATCTTTGTATTTATCAAATATTAAGATACTAGATACATTCTGTGTGCTGTGTATATATACCTAATCCGTTCTACCAATTGATCTATTTTTTTTAACCAGTATCAAATTGTTTTAGTAATACTGCTTCCACAGTATAGTCTGGTATAGTAGTGCCAAGCCCCCTTCATTTCCATTTCTTTTCATTATTTTTCTTGAGGTTCTTGACCTTTTTTTCTCCACTTGAATTTTTTTTATCATTATTTTCTAGTTCTTATAAAGTAATCCTCTGGTAGTTTGATTGAATGGCATTGAATAAGTAAATTAAAGTAACATCATTTTTATTATGTTTGTTCATCCTATTAATTATTAATGGTCCTACAATATTTCTGTAAACAGTTGTTTGTAGTTGTATTTATAAAGTTCTTGTGTGTGTCTTAAAAAGATAGACTCCCACCTATTGTATACATTCTGTGATAATTTTAAATGGAATGTATCTCTTCCTGCTAGAATAATACAGACTGATGGGTTTTGTGGATTTTACTTTAGATCCTACACCTTTCCTAAAGTCATTCATTGTTTCAATTTATTTTTAGTTGACTATTTAGGGTTCTTTAAATATACCATCATATCATCTGCAAAAAAATTATAATTCTGTTTCTTCTTTACCTGTGGCTGTTAAAAAAAAATCCTTAATTTATTTTTTCTTGCCTTGTTGCTATGGCCAACATTTCTAGTACTGTATCAAATAGAAATGGTGAGGATGTGATTGGTAACGATTCCCATTTATTTCCATTACAAATAATGGTACCTCTTAATTTTAGATATACACTATCGGTCATCTTAAGGAAGAATCCATCCATTTTTATATTTTCTAGTGATTTCCAGAAATGGGTGTTATTTGTGTCAAAAGGTTTTTCTGAGTTTGATGGAAAAAGTCACATGATCTTTGTTGATTTTTTTTTTATTGTTTTCCTAGTATTAAACCAACTTTGCATCCCTGGTTTAACTCCAACCTGGTCATAATATATGCTCTTTGTGATATGTTGTTTTAGTCTCTTCGCTAATATTTTTTAATTGCATATATGTTCATTGGTGTGGCTTTCTTTTTCAGTTTGGATTCTCCCTGGTTTATGTATCAAGACTATATCTGTGTGCTAGAAGGAATTTGATAGGACCCCCATCTTTTGATTTTTTTGCAAGTAATTTATTTAATATTGGAATTTATTCTTTGATAGCATTCACTTGGTCTTAGAGTTTTATCTTTCAAAGTTCATTTATGATTTAATTTCTTTTTATGAAACTGCATTGTTTAAATGCTGTCTTGTTCTGGTCATTTAAATGTGTTCTATTTTTATAACTATCCATTTATTTCAAGTTTTTGGTTTTGTTGGCACTTAGTGGGGCAAAGTATTTTGGCTTAGTAATTTATGCACTTTTTCTCAAACAACCAGCACCTAGTTGTTTATTCAAGGGTATTTTTTTTTGTTTTCAAGTTTGTTAATTTCTTCTTTATTTTTTAAGATTTCTATTTTGATATTTAATTGGAGTTTTAAAATTTTGTTTTCTAGTATTTTAGTTGCATCCCAATTCATTGATCTGTTTGTTCTCTTTCTTGTTGATGAAAATGTCCAAAGAAATAATTTTTCTCCTAAGGACTATTTTGACTATATTCCCCAAATTTTGGAATGTTATCTCATTATTTTCATTATCTTTAATGAAATGATTTATCATTTCTATGATTTGTTCTTTGACCCAACAATTCTTTAGGATTATGTTTACTCCAGTTGATTTTTAATATTTTTTTCAGTGACCTTTACATAATTTTTATTGCATTGCATTCAACAAAGGAAATGTAGAATATATATTTTTTTGTTTTCTGTAGTTGTTTGTGAGGTTTTTATGTCCCAGGACATGAATAAATTTATAAAGATGATATGCACAGTTGATTACATATATATATATACACACACACACACACACACATATATATATATTACACGCGCACACACACACACACACACACACATATATATATATATATATATAAATCCATCCAAAAATCATCAGAAAAATAATAGCTAATTTTTCTAATATTCTGTTCAGGGCTTTAGCTTCTTTGTTATTTATTTTTTGTTAGATTTATCTAGGGCTTGAAGGGGTAGATTGAAGTCTTGCTTTTTGGCACTCTGCCTTTCAAAGAGGCAAGGCTGGGACATAGAGGAACCAGCAGGTTTTCTACAGTTCAAATAGTGTGCAAAACCTCACTGGTGAGTGAGAATTATTATTCCCTGTTGTAGTTCTTGGTTCCAATTTCTCTTTTGGAGGAAGACAGGAGCTGTCTTATAGCTTGTCATGTTCCATTTAATGAGCGTCTATCTTAAAAGGGCCTCTCCTGAGAATCCTGGTCAGTATTCCACCAATTCCATCCCGTTTCTGATGGACAGAGGCAGCTAAGTAGCAAAGTGGATAGAGTACTGGACCTGCAGTCAAAAAGACCTAGGTTCAAACCCAGCCTCGGCTGGTTACCACTTTGTTGACCTGCAACAAATCATTTAACCTTTCTGTGCCTCAGTTTCTTCACCTGTAAAATCAGCACATACCTCATAGGGTCATTTTGAGGATTAAGTGAGACAGTATGTGCAAAAATAGTTTGCAAATCTTAAAGTTCTATGTAGATGTTACTAGCTATTATTAATTAATATTAACTAATATTGATATTCATTATCTCTGAGTTCTGAAACAAAGCTAGAGCCATTCAATTTTGTTGGTATAAGGTATAAGAGTCAGGAAATTCCTTCCATCAATTCAGGTTGGCACTGTCTTTCAAACATATGGTCTACGACAGTTCTTAACCGGGGCTCCATAGATCAAAGGGGTCCAAGGAAAGAATTCAGAATGTCTATGAACATGGATGAGAATGAAAAATTATATCTTTATTTTTAATTACCTCTATCTGAAATTTAGCATTTCTTTCAGTTATGGTTTTTTAAAAAGTATTCTGAGCAATCTGTAGATTTCATGAGACTACTGAAGACATCAATGAGACACACACACACACACACACACACACACACACACACACGTTAAGAGGCTCTGTCTTAGAGAGATGCCTAGAGCATTGAGAGGTTAAATGACATGCCCAGAATCACATAGCAAGTATGTATCAAAGGCAGGACTTGAACTCAGGTCTTCCTGGGTTTCTAGGATCACTCTCTATGCACTATGCCTTGCTGCTCTGAAGCAGACTATAAACAAAACCAGGCAAGATGCTCATTAAAAATTTAACTTTATATCATATTTATTTATTATCAATCCACAGGATAATTTGATTGCTACACGAGCTCATAAAAGCTATTTCACCTTTACAAAATTAAAAAAAATGTGCCACAAGGATGTAATAATAATTGCTGATAAACAAGAAAATGAATTTTAAAATTATAAATTTGCTGTAGAAAAGATAAAAAACAATTATATTCACTTTAGAATTTTTACCTTGAATAAAATATTCCCCTGTATAAAAAATTAAAAAAGCTTGCTCTGGTTAGAATTAGAGTGTTTGTTTTTCAAATCTGGGAATTTGCATAATATCCTCATGATAGGTTTATTATTGTACCGCGTGGCATTCAAGCATAGCAGATTAGAAACGTTTTTTAAAAAGCAGTCTCAAAATGTGACATCTGTACAGAAGATCAATATTCTTCCCCCCTCATCCTTATGGACATGTAGAATGGATAGACTTTGGGGGAGAAGAGGACAGGGAAAAGAGGGGCTCTGAATGTGCCATTAATTTAGAGCAAGATAATGAAAAAGGCCTATTTGTAAGTGCTTTCATCAGATAAGGTGCAGAAAGCAGACTGCAATATTGCTAGTACTGCATTATATACATATTCACAAAAAAAAAATTTTTTTTAATTCCAGCAAGTTCACATTTTCTCTTCCATTCCGAGGCTTTCCGTCTTGCCCTGGCCTTGACTATGAGAGACGCAGTCCCCAAGCGAGGGTACTGATGGTCCTAGGAAGTCCTGAGACTTGAAGAAGCCGGCCCGAAGTTCTGTCCTGGGAGATCCAACAGGGTTTAGAGAGACTTACTGATAGGCTGGGGTCCTGAGTTTAAAAAAAGCTCCAGTACTGGAGTAGGACATAGCAATCAATGTTCTATTGTCAAGGCTTTCTCCCCCCTTCGATTTGTCTAAAGTAGGTGTTCAAAGAGAAAAATAAAATATAAACGAACAGACGAAAACAAAAACAAGGAAACCCCCAACAAAGGCTTAACAGCTCTTAACTCTTGACTGGGTGATATCAGACGTTTTCTTGATGACGCTGGCCCGGGTCTCCTGGTCGGGACGACTGCTGGTGGGAGCCTGAGAGACTGAAGACGTTAGGGGGAGGTCAGCGAAGAGAGGCCAGGAGCTGTTGTAAGGCATAGGACAACTTTCCTCCTTGATGGTAACCTGGAGATCCGGCTTGTTGGAGGTCACGAAAGTTGCCATGCTGGGCAGCAGGTAGCTGTTTCTTGTCCCCATGTTGCTTAGGTACTGTTTGCCTTCAATGTTTCTTTTCAGCCAATGTTGCCGTCCCTTTCAAAGAGAAGAACAATTTTAAGAGCTTTTTTTTTTCATTTCAGAGAGGTTTTTAAATTACTTTGCTTTAAAATAAAACATTAAAAAATGCTTTTATTCCTCCGGAGAATAAATATGTTATCGTCAAATGCATTTTTTTTAGAGTCACAGAACTAAAAAGTACTTTTCACTAAACAATACGTATATGTGGTTATTTGTAACTTAAGCAAGGATTTCCCCTCACTCATTCCCATTCTCTGACTATAAAAACAGAGATCCAGAGTGGGAAGGGGCCTCAGAGGGCATTCGGCACAACCCCTTCATTTATAGATGAGAAATTTGGGGCTTGGCACAGAGATGAACTGCTCTGCCTAAGGTCACACAGCTAGTAAGTGTCAGAGGCAGGATTTGAACCCAGGTCCTCTAACTTTAGAGCAGGGCTTCTTAACCTATTGTGTGTCTGTCTGGACCCCTTCTCTGAATGTTTTTAAATGCAATAAATCGCACACACAGGATTACAAAGAAAACCAATTATGTTAAAATACATATATGTATGTGTATGTATCTATATATACTTATATATACATCTATGCATATGTGTGTATATACGTCTACATACATATGCATGTTACATAAATGCTCAATGTCTGCAGGTTAAGAATTCTTTCCTCTATGCCATACTAACTCCTCAAAGACAAGACCATTATGTAAAGGAGGAAAAGACGGCAGCAGATCAGTTTGGGGACATCATTCTTCTATCTATCCCCAAATTAAGAATTATTAATTGGGTTTCATACTAGTATGCTATGCCTCCTCTGACTCTTGCTATGAGCTAGAGGGTCAGTGAACCCCTGCTTTAGAGGAAATGAAATCAGGAACTTCTCAGCAGGCAGCCTTAATGTTCCTGTTAGCTTCCACATTAGTTCAAGGGAATCATCAATGCCTTCCAAGCATGAAGCTGGGGTCCAGCCATGCAGCTTTGAGGAAAACATGGTGAGATGTTTAATCCCAGAATATTCAGTCAGAATTTATATGCATATCTTCACACATTGTCCTTCAAATCCAGGTGCTTTTCCTTCCCTCTCTCTCCTTCTGCTCCTCTGTTTCTGTCTCTCTTTCCTCTCTCTTCCCTCCCTTTTCCCTCTGTTACCCCCTCTCTCCCTTTTGCTGTTTCTCTTTCTCTCCTTTCTCCCCCCTTCTACATATTCCCCCCTCTCTTCCTCTCTTCCCACTTTGCTGTTTCTCTTTCCCTCCTTTCTCCCCCCTCTCCTTCCCACATCTTCTACATCTTTCTCCCCTCCTCCCTTTCGCTCTCCACCCACTTTGCTGTTTCTCTTTATCCCCTTTCTCCCCCTCTCCTTCCCACCCCCTTCTACATCTTACTCCCCTCCCCCATCTCTCTCTCTCTCTCTCTCTCTCTCTCTCTCTCTCTCTCTCTCTCTCTCACACACACACACACACACACACACACACACACAGCGAGTTAAATCAGAAGGCTCTCTATCACCATTACAGCCATTTCCTGTCATTGTGTAATCACTGTTGGGAGGAGGGAAATCTCAAGGAGGCAGGCCCAGAATCAAGATAAAACAGAAAAACAACTGCCTTGGCCCTGGTTCACAGAAAGGGAGAGAAAATCAAGCTATATGTGGAGTGCTTGGCTCTTCTGTATGTTGGGTTTGAGTTATGTGGTCCTGACCAGATGACATTTCTACTAATAACTTAAGGTTTCCTGTGGTACTGACCGGTTGCACAGGACTCTCACTTTATAATTTTATTTTGATATGCATTTTTAAAAAAGCACCACTGTCTCTTTTTTATTTTCTTTGTTTATTTTCTCCCATCTAATTCGAATGGCCTGATTTTAAAATTCGTGATCCTTACCAGAGCAGAATGCAGCAACCAGCCAGCCTCTGGCACACCTCCCCACCCTTACTCCATTCTCCCTACCCTCCAACACATATATTCTCTAACAAATGTTAAACCGAGATGGTATTTGGGAATACTTTTCCCAAAGCACCTCTCTCAGGGTTCAACACCCACCCACACTCACCTCTGTGCTTTCTTCATCACTTGGCACACTGTCTGTTGTTTCGCTTTCTGTTAGAGAGATAAAAATTTAAAAAAAGACCATAATTCCTGCAGTTCACAACAACACGGGGTTCACACGTCATAGAAACAATGGTTATCTTTCTTAAAAGGAGTAACGTTGGGGTTACCCCAAGCAAAATTGGGGTTAATATTTTGTCGTCTCTAAAATCTGAGCTCTTTGAGGGAAGGGACTGTTTTTGCCAACATTTGTATTCTTGGAATGGCATAGCCACGGGTCCAACAGGTGGTTCTTAAAAGTGCTGACCATCTGTATAGTGGAAATAGACCTGGGTTCAGAGTTGGAAGACCTAGATTTGAATCCTAGATCTGATACTAGCCAAGTGTGGGCAAGTAGACAAGTCGTTGAACCCCTGAACCGTAGTCTCCTCTTATGGATACAATTATGCTTAGATCACAGAGAAGTTGTTCTAAGCAAAATGCTTTTTAAATGTAAAATGCTACTGGATAAATGTGAGCTAGCATCAATAAAAGCAGGAGAAGAGATTTCTGGGTACTTAGGCTCACATTTGGTTACTTGTCCAACCTCATCTCTAGCTATTTCCCAACATGGGTTGTCCATTCTTTCTAAGGCAATCTCCCTTCAACTTCCTTATGTCTTGTACATTCCTGTTTCTCTGACTTCGCAAAAGTAATTTGCATTATGTGAAATCTTACTTCCATCCCCTATTTTTCCCCAGTCCAAGTTTGTTACTACCCTTCCCTGATCTTTTAAGGAGTAGTCAACTCTCTTGCACATATCCATGCAGTAATTGTTGTCCACTTGTTTCATTAATGTGCATTTGATTTCCCCAAGTAGAGTGTAAGCACCAAGAGTCAAAGAATTGGATTTCGGAAGTAAGCACTGATGATACACTCATTTACCCGAAGATAAATGAGGAAATCCTAAAAGAGCACTTTCAAGTCATCAGACCCAGACGAACTCTATCTTTGGATACTGAAAAAAATGGCAGGTGTGACTGCTGAGTTTCTGAAAGTATAAAGAATGGGAGATGTGCCACAGGACTGAAGAGGGCCAAATGCTATCCTGATTTTCAAAAAATGGAAAAAGGGCAGAGTCTGAAAACTATAAGCCAAAGGAGTTTCAGTTCCTGGCAAAATTCTAGAACGTATCATTGAAGGGATGGTTTCTGATCCTTTAGAAAGGGAAACAGTGATCATTAAGAAGGCTTCTTCAAGAATACGTCAATTGATCAAATCAATAAGTATTTATTAAGTGCCTACTATGTGCCAGACATGTTACTATTGACAGCTTATGCCATGCTCATCTCATTTAATTTATAGCAGGGTAACTAGACTGGTAGAGAAAAGAGATGCTATAGGCATACAATATACCTGGATTTCACCAAAGCTTCATATAAGGTCTTTCATGGTATCTTTAAGGATAAGATGGAGGCTGTGAGCTTGATGATGGCATATTGGGTGAATTTGGAAATGAATGAAGGACCAGCCCTAAAGAGTACTCTGGATGTCAACTTGGAGATATCTTAGTATCATTTCTGAGAGAGTTATCCCTGGCTCTGCAGCATTCAACATTTTTATCCAAGACTTTGATGATGGTAAATGATACAAGACTGAGCGGGAGAGGTAACATGCTAGATGGCGGATGATCTGGACAGATCAGAACAATGGTTAGAACTGAAGAAGGTAAAACATAATAGAGAGAAACATACAGTCCTAGACTTTGGTTACAAACACTGCTTTTTTTTTGGTGCTATATTTGCAAGGATATGATGGGGAAAGTTATTACTAAACAGTAGTGCATAAGGGGGAGTGGATAATGGGGGTTCTATCAGACTGCAGGCTCAATGAGTCAATGTTACAGATTTGAGGCAAAAAAAAAAAAGCTCAGGTGATCTTAATTAGAAGCTGGATCAAGTGGAAGTGGCCAAGAAGCCAATCTGGGTTTCATGTCAGGATAAATTCCCTAACCATGAGAGCAACCCAAAAGTGAGATGGGCTTTCTTCAGAGGTGATACGGTCTTTGTCCTCGGGGGTCTTCAAGCAAAGGCTGAAGAAATAGTTGTTGGTAATGTTATAGTGGGATTCCTTTCATACATGGGTTGGATGAGATGCCTACTGAGGTCCCTTGCAACTCTGAGACCTTGTGATTCTATGTTTAATACTTTTCTGCTCCATGCATTCACCTCTGCTAAGCCTGATTTCAACTATAAGGTGGAATGACATGAAGCTAAGTGTTGGAAATGGTTTCCACATTAAAACAAATTCAATAACTATCTATATATCATCTATCTACTACCTACTGTCATCTATATCTATCATTTATCTATCATCTATTATCTATCTTTACTATCAACCTATCTCTATTATATATCATTTATCTATATCTATCTATCCATCCATTTCTCCGTCTCTATCATCTCTTTGTCTGTCTGTCTTTCATCTATCATCCTATTCATTCATCTCTGTTTCTATTTATCTATCCGTTCACCTCTCTGTCTCTATCTATAATCATCTGTCTCTGTCTCTCTCCTCTATCTATCCATCCATTTTTATCTGTCCATCATCTATTTATCCATCATTCTCTCTATCCATTCATCTTTCTGTATCTATATTATCTATCTGTCTCTGTCTCTCTTCTTTATCTATCCATCTATTTTTATCTGTTCATCATCTATCTATCCATCATTCTCTCCATTCATTTCTCTGTACCTATATTATCTGTCTGTCTATCTATCTATCTACTATCTATCTATCTATCTATCTATCTATCTATCTATCTATCTATCTACCTATCTGTCTATCTATAGCCAACTATCTCTCTCTCTGTTTCTCTGTCTGTCTATATCATATCACATCCTCACACTAAAACTCATAATCCCTGGAGGCAGGGATTAGTATAACCATTTTGTAATGAGAGAAATGAGGAAGAGAGATGTTAAGTAACTTGCCTGAGCTGTGCACTGAGTCAGCAGGAGAAAGGGCAGGGGGTGGAGGGGAGGGTGGATAAAAAACACCTCCTTCCCTGACTTAATAGCCTCTGCCCAAGGACTCTGATTCTCAAACTGTTCTTGCTGTCCTGGCATCTCTGACCAAATTTCAAGATCCTCTTTCCATTTTTATACTGCAGTCTCCTGCTCCAATATCAGTTTCTTCCTTCTTCCAAACATCTTCAAGTTTCCTCCTTTCCTCCTTGGTGCCATTTCTAATTGCCCTCCGCAAATATTATCATCTGTTCCATTAGAATTTAACACCATATTTGTACATGTACTTATGTAGATTTATGGACATCTATTTTATATATGCATACATACATATATACACACAGAAAGTGAAAGAAAATGTGAAGGAGTTTTTTGACTGAGGTCATGTTGCAAAATCAAAGAAATGATAATAAGGAAGAGACAGCATGGCTCAATGGAAAGAGACACAGATTAAGGAGAGCTGGAGCTTGAGTTCCGGCTCTGATACTTGCTAGCTGCATGACCTTGGGCAAGAAACAACCTCTCTCAGCCTCAATTTCCTCATCCATGAAATGGGAATAATAACATCTGTGCTACTGACCTCAACAGGGTTGTTATAAGGAAAACAGTAAAATTTGAAGCAATAAATCAATATGAACTGTTCTTAGGTGATGAAACTTGAAAGAAGTCGAGAATTAATTATGTTGAGAAGGGAGCTAATAGTATGAGCACTGGAAGTGGGTGAACATGGAGACTTCTCAAAAACCTCTTCCCCCTCTTCTACCGTGCTCAGGGCATGAACGTTCTTTGAATAGTACCATTTAAACAAATAATAAATGGGCATCTAGGTGATGCAGTAGATAAGAGTGCTGGGTCTAGAGTCAGGAGGACCTGAATACAAATTTGGCCTCAGACTCTTACTTTGTGACCCTATGCAAGTCACTAACCATCTGTCTACCTCAGTTTCCTCATCTGTTAAATTTTTAAAATTGAATTAATAAATAATATGAGAAGCCGTTATTTTGAGGAAAAACCCAGTACAACAGACAAACCTAAATCAGTTGGTTTGAGGAAAATCAAATTAACAGTATCAAAAAAGGAAGGAGAATTTACAACAAATGAAGAACTGAAGGAAATTCATATAAATTACTTTCCCAAAATGTGCCAATAAAACTAACTTAAATAAAATAAATTAATATTTACAAAAATATAAAAGGTCCAAACTAATGGACAAGAAAGAGATTTTAACATTCCGATTTCAGAGGCAGAAACTGAACAAGCCTTAAGTGAAAATTATCACTTTTTGCAGATGACATGATGGTGTACTTAAAGGATTGACTAAAAATGGATTGAAACGATAAATATCATCAGTAAACTTGAAGGATATAAAATAAATCCATACAAATCAGCAGGATATCTATATAATAGTAATAATAATACAACCTACTAAAGAGAGGAGAAATTCCATTTAACATTATTGCAGAATGCACAAAATATTTGGGAGCCTACCTTCTAAGTCACACGCAAGAACTATATAAATGCAACTAAATCAACTGTTTACAGAAATAAAGACAGACTTTAATAAATGGAAAAATATTAACTGCTCATGGATAAGATGAGCAGATAAATTTTTAAAATGACAATATCACCTAAATTAATTTACTTGTTAAAAGGCTTACCAATCAAACACCAAACGATGACTTTATAGAGTTAGAAAAAAATAAAATTCAAATAAAACTTACTAGCTGTGTGACTCTGAGCAAGTCACTTAACTCTGTTTGCCTCAGTTTCCTCATCTGTAAAATGAGCTGAAGAAGGAAATGGCAAAATATTCCAGTATTTTTTGTCAAGAAAACCCCAGTTGGGGTCAGGAAGAGTTGGATATGACTGAAACAACCTATCACTATAATGAAACTACTCTCTCAATGATATCTTAATCATCACATTGTCATCATCCTCATTTTCCTTGTGCTCTCTGTAGTAACTAACACAGTTAACCACTTCCCCTGGCTTCTAGAACACCTTACTCTCCAGGTTCTTGTTTTATTGCTTTCAATCCTGATGTTT